GCGAGTTTTTAAGCCCACTTGAGAGTGGCAAATCACCATGTTTTCTATGCTTACTTGAAGGTGGCAAAATCTGCATTTTAGCCTACTTGCGAGTCGCACCATCAAACCATCTTTCAAATAAACAAACATGAAATGTTTTGTTCCAACTCAAACGATCCAGTCCATACTTGTATGTTGTGTGCATCACATAGTAATTCTAGGCTAATAACCGGAATAAGAGCACATAATGTTTTCAAAACTCGATATCATGGTTAGTAGAGGCCGATTTTTGATCGGGCGAGCGGGGGTGCTCATGAAATGACCTTCCCCAATCGTACCCAAGTTTCCGAGCCGAGGCAACTTTGGTGATGACAGACACGTGGCCTTAGGCACGAGTCAGGGTTTCCTAAATTTCTCAAAAATAAAACATTTAGGTGGCGACTCTGTATCTGGCAAAGTAGTTCATGTTTGACATTTCTTTCTAAAAATCTATTTTCCAAAACGATTTGCCAGACTTTGACTCTTTGGTGATTTATTAATCTCACATCGTACATTGTGAGATCAGATTAAGAACTGTGACAATTTGAGTCCGAACTGTAGTGAGCCCAAAATGAACAAAACGGGATTTCCTCCCGGGACGTTCGGGGCACGTCTACAACAATATGCAATTACTTAGGCTCGGCTACTAATATGGCATATGAAGCAATTTGATAGCATGCGGTCTAAACACGTATTCAAAAAAGTATTTGAAACGAAATGCAATTAGAATGATAAACCGAGCTTCGGTGCATGCAATACGAATGGATGCAAACATGGAGAATGCTAATTAAAACAGATGTCCCTAAACGAACCATCATAAGCTAGTAAATAAAAGGGAGAAAGATGTGGGGTTGGAAGATATACACATTATTACAAGTTTGCGTTCTCATGAAGGAGAGTACGAATGAATAAACTGGCTAACTAGCTAACTAATTAATCTAACTAATTAGACTAAAGCTAATTATTACAAAACAAATTGAATTAGCTAAACCACTTAACTAATTATTACAACAACAAATGAACTAATTAATTAACTAATCTAGCTAATTAAAATAATTGCATCATAACCAGTTAACTACTTAACTAATTAAATAATTACAACCCAAGTGCGATTTAAGAGAATTAAGTATTTAAGCTAAACAATTAATAGCGCCTCAGGAGACGATGGGTGTTCATGTGCATGCTCGGTTTTCACCCAAAAAGCCACTGTTTTACTTCCGAATGCCTCTGTTTGCACAGTCAAATACCAACACTGCTGCTCACTCTGTTCTGCTATACAAACTCACTGCTCAGTGTTGCACCAATGGCCAGCTGGCCAGTGATAAGGATTGCCGGCCACCTGCCGGCCACTGCTGCATAGGTTCATCTTGCTGCAACAGAGGACAAACAGAACATATACAAGGTAATTTCAAGGGCTATCTGCACAACTCAACCTTCCTTTTCATGAGCAAATCAAAGGAGTGGTGTACTTAAGCCACAAACGACTAACTCAAACAATTTCATTGCATGATGGCTTGTGACTTAAGATGTGCAATTTTAATAAATGCAAAACAAGACACAAACCTCCTCTCTTTCATGAAAGATCAAGAGAAGAAGTTGACCTTGGAGACTTAAAACAATTTATCACTCGCAAGTATGAAATGGTTCAAGCTTCCATGTGTTCAATTAACGTTCGATTGAACACAACCAAATTATTATCTTTCTCATTTTTAATTCCAAGTTTTAGTTACTCATTTTAATTTACCAACCATTCTTTAATTCAATTAAGTCCAATAATGAATTAAAGTCTTCTAATGTAAAGAGGGCTCAAAACACAAGTTGCTTTGGGTATGAAAGAAGCATCATACCATGGGTAATGAACCCCCTAAGGGATTAAACTATTAAGTATGAAACCTCAATTTCATACTTAAACAAACAAGTGACTTGAAACCACTTTTAAAGAAAAATGAAAAGTCAAGAATGGAGGGAGGTTGCAGAGAGTATTAGTGCTAAAATGAAGTATGAAAAGCCCAAAATAAGTGTTATTAACTCAAATAAGTGATGTCTAAGACCTAAAACATTAAACTTATGAGGACTATTACACTAGAAGCATGAAAAACAAAGTTCAAATGCAAACAATAGCCTAAAACAATGCTAAAACAGGTTAAAATAAGTCTTAAAACATGCTGGAATTAAGCTAAAAATAGCTAGATTAATATGCTAAAACAAGGTACTAACTAGGCTAGTAAGCGAGACACAAGGAGGGGAGACTAACTCCTCTAAATTTGGACTTCAAAACATGATTTTGGCAACTGAAAAAGCTCTAAAAATTAGTGTTTAAAAGCTTGGAAAAAGATAGTAAAATGGTGGGAAATACAAGGGCAAAGGTCTTCAAAACAAGGTACAAAGAAGGGCTATCAACCCCTCAACCTTTAATGGCCTTAAACCCAAGCTTCAGACCAAAAAACATAGAGTTTTGACTGCCTAAAATAATAAAAAAAACAGTAAGAAAGAAAATAGAGTAAGCAAACAAATAGGTAAAGCCTTATATCTCTTAAAGAGAAAAAGCAATTTCAAGCAACAAAATAAGCAAACAACACCCTCTAGAGCTCAAACCAAGCTCAAAAGTACCTCAGCTCAAAGGTGAAGAGATTTGGTTAGGGGTGTATAGGCAAAGGTTGAAGAATTGTAGGCAAAAGTGTAGAGATTTGGTAGAGAGAGAGGAAAATTTTTAAGCTCAAAATTTTCTAACCTTCAAAACAATATGAGAGGTCTTCTATATATAGAGAACTAAGCAAGTCCCTCAAAAACATCCAGCCCTACACGTGGGTAAAGATGCATGCATTTGTGCAAACAGCTGGCACAGCTGACATAAAATATTTGCAAAATACATCGGTGGCCGGCAAGCCACATCAGTGGCTGGCAGCCTAAAAGTGATGGCCGACAGCCCAAAAGTGGTGATTGGCAGGCCACCAGAGGTTGCAGGCTGGAAAAGCTAGGCTTGGTCCAAAAATAGGGCAACAGATGTGCAGGGTTTGAAAGGCTCAAAGCTGTGGCATTCTACTGAGGACTTCGAGCACTGGACGAGCATTTAGATTCATCATCGGGTGTGCATGCAATGGTGTCCAAGTCGTAAGGCCCCTCAAAAATGGGGTGTCCACAAGTGGATCAATAAATCGAGAGGGAGCTTGACAAATAAAGAAGAGGGGAGAGAGAGAGTGAGCAAAGAGAACACAGTGGGGTACAGAAATAGACAGATAAACAAACAGACATGCAGATAGAAAGAGAAAGAGAGAGAGAGAGAGAGAGAGAGAGAGAGAGAAGAGTGAGAGAGAGACAGAAAAAAAGAGAGAAACAATAGATGAGTGAAAGATAGACAAAGACAGCGAGAAAGATAGCGAAAAGAGATAAATGAAAGAAAGACATAGAGAAAGAGAGAGGGACAGATAGAGAAAAGAGATGAGCAAGAGAGATAGAAAGAAAAGAGATGAGCGAAAAAGACAGAGAGAGATGAGAGAGACCGAAAGAAAAGAGATGAGCAAGAGAGATAAAGTGAAAAGAGATGAGCGAGAGAGACAGAGAGAGAAAATGAGAGAGATAGAGAAAAGAGAGATGAGCGAGAGACACACAAAGAGAGAGAGAGAGAGAGAGAGAGAGACATGAAGATGAAAAAATTGGTGAAAAGAGAAATGTTATATCAAAAGAGTAAGATGACGTCGTTTTTTTTATTTTATTTTTTTGCGATAGAAAAATACCGTTGTATTTATTCAAACCATTTTGTGACTGTATATATATGAAGCCGTCTCAAAGCCACAATATTTTTTTTTTTACTTTTTTTTTTTTGCAATGGTACCTATCACAGTCGCAAAAAACTCACTTTTTTTTTTTTTTTTTTTGGCGACTGCAGCTGGTGTTGTCGCAAAAACTTTATTTTTTTGCGACAGCAATCTCTGCCATCATAAATACTCTCCTTTTTTTGCGACCGCAATTTCTGCCGTCGCAAATACTCTTCTTTTTAGCGACAGCAATTTCTGCCATCGCAAATACTCTATTTTTCTGCGACAGCAAATTGTGCTGTCTCAAAAACTCTCCTTTTTCGCGACAACTAGTTGTGCCGTCACAAAGTCACTTTTTGAGACGGTAAGTGTGCTGTTGTAAATGCTTTCGTCTTTTAAACCCACTTTTTTTTGTAGTATAAGAACAATATGTCAAGAACTATATATACCCTTGTTAAGAATCATCACTAACTCTCCTCACTCTCTAGAATCTTTTCTCTAGAATACTCTAGAAGTTTTCACATGAATCTATAATACTTCAAAAAGATTTAGAAGACTTTGGAAAGACCTAGAGAAATTTGGAAGATTGTAGAACATCTTAGAAGAATTCAGAACATTGGACAAGATTGGAGAAACTAGATAAATTTTGAAGGTTCCGGAAGGTTTTAGAATATTTTCGAGAAGTATAGAAAACTCTAATATGTACTAGAGTAGCTTAGATAATTCTAGAGTATAGTAGAAGTATTAGTATATCCTAGAATATTGTAGAAGCAAATTTATCACCACTTATTTTGTAGATGATGTTTGTTTCTAGTAACTTCTTCACTAGTATGAATATTGAGATTAGTTCATGTACTAGGCAATTAAGTAAGTGTTTGATCAAGCACTACAAAAGTGATCTAGTGAGATGGTAGACACAAAGTGTGATGGCTTAAATGTATTATGTGAGTGAATAAGTAAAGTGTATTAGTGTGTGATTGTGTACAAGTGTTTTGTATACTTAAGTTTTATTAATAAAAATTGTATTTTTAGGTCCACCAATGTGTCAAACTCAACAACCCTGATCGTAGATCAATCATTGTCTTGTCACTTATCAAGATGCAATTAAGACTCAAAGTTTTAGCGACCCCATCATGTTTCAACACAATAAGACAACAAGTTCATCTCTATAAGAAAATCACTAGCGATCACAACATTAGGTAACTTAGCATAACATTGGGGTATTGTTTAACCATTACATGTCTCGAAATCTAGGTCAAGAACCCTAACTTTCTTTCTGAGAGCAAAACGAATCCATGTAACAATCTCATTAGCTAGCTTCAATTCTTTTGCTAAGCGTTTTAGGATCATCTTGATAGTTGCGCTCTAGGGAAAACTATAAACTGAACTCAAACTTTAGACAAAATCTATGCATATCAGAGCACTCATGAAGAATTAATATATGACGAATAAAGTTAACCAATCTCTCTTCATACATTAGCCAATCCACATTCTCAAAATCATCATAGTCGTGGTACAAGCCCACATTAAAATCAAGATTGTAAATGGAAGTCCAGAGCTTTCCAAATTTGCGAATAAGGACCGTCTTCATGGCATTTTCTATTGGCAAAAGTGAGAGGATGTGGACGAGGATCAAGTCTGGTAAACTACTAATTCTATCAATTTGTTCATTTGGGGCAACCGATTGCCTCTTGCAACTACCTAATTTTGCAACTAATTCTATCAATTTGTTCATTTGGGGCAACCGATTGCCTCTTGCAACTACCTAATTTTGCAACAATATTATTCATCTTCGTATCTTCTTGGGGGTTTAGAAACAAAGAACCAAAGAAACCCTATAGAACATACAAAGTGAAAACCAATCAGTGTGTTTGGTTTCAATTTTTTGGATTTAATTTTTTGAAATTGAGTTTTTTGTTTTTTGTATTTTTTTATTTTATTTTTAGGGAAATTTTTTGAAATTTTAAGCAATTTTTTTACTTTTTTAGATGTACCTTACGTAGATGTATCTAAAAAGTAAAATATTTGTAAAAAAATAGTTTAAAAAATCAGTAAATACACAAGAATACAAAAAATGTATAGAAGTCTTGTATTTTTATTATTTTTTTTTGTATTTTTGGTATTTAGTGAATTTTCTATAAAAAAAACTTGCAAATATTATACTTTTTAAATATATTTATGTTAAGTGCATCTAAAAATTAAAAAATTGCTTAGAATATTAAATTCAGTAAAAACAAAAAAAAAATATGAAAAATAAAAAATTAATTTTTTGAAAAATGAATCCTGAAAATTGAAACTAAACAAGCTGAATAATCTTACAAATTTGATCAGTTTGGGGACTATTCTGCCTTCTACAACCACTTTACTATCTTAGAACCTTGCATTTCGTCGTTTGAAAATCAAACTCCGTCATAGAAATCCACATGTATAACCCCTACCCATGTTCACTTTCCTAGCCCGTAGCTGGGTATTCCAAAATCACAACACTTTACTATCTTGGAACCTTGCATTTCATCATTTTGTTTACACTTTGTATCCACTGGATTGTTCAATTTTTGTTGGGTCGCTTTCTTAGGCATGTTTAAATATGTTTGATTGGGAGATTTGATGAGAGATTTGGAAAATAAAATGGAAAATGTATGTGAAATATGAATAAAATATACCTACATTTTACATAATTTCACACATTTTTTTTCTTTCTGTTTCCAAATCCTTCTTCAAATCTCCTAACCAAACACATTTAAACATGCTTAAGAAAGCGACCCAACAAAAATTGAACAATCCAGTAGATACAAAGTGTAAACAAAATGATGAAATACAAGGTTCTGAGATAGTAAAGTGTTGTGATTTTGGAATACCCAGTTACGGGATGGGAAAGTGAACATGGCGGAGTTGGATTTTCAATCGATCTTTGACGATTTCTATGTAAAAACCCTCCATCGTCGAGCCCTCACTACAAGATATATATCCAGAGCAGACTATCCCCTCTACTAGTTCCCACCAAGAAGAAAGAGCAATTTTTTGTTTTTGTTCTATAACGGATTTTATATTTTTATTTATGTATTTATTTAGCTATTTTATTATTGTGTAAATTACAATTTTTACCCTCTAACTTTCACCTAAATTTCATTTTAGACTCTCATATTTTAGTGGGCAAATCCTTGTGTTTTTACCTGTCTATATTACTTTCCTCTCATTTGGAAATAATCACATAACTATTCTCTTATACTTTGTGGACTGAAATATGCTGTTAAATATTTTGCCCAACTTAACAGTAAATGTAAAACACATGCTAGACATAAGAGAGTTGTATGCTTATTTTAAATTTTAAGGGAATAAATCACACATAAAATAAAACACAAAGGGTTAAAGTGTATTTTGCCTTCCAAACAAATAATAAAAATATTCACACACTTGAGGCCTATTTGAGTGGGTGGATTATAACATATGATTGAAATTATTAATTCATAAGATTCACATTCCATTGTTTGGTTATAATATTTGTTATCCAAATTAGATTCCAAAGGAAACTGTATAAAACAAAATCGGCAATTTTTTTAATCCTAATAATGCAAAACAAACATATAATTGATTATATATTTTCATATCTATTGAAAAATAAATAATTTTTCTATTTTTGTTAAGAAAAATTGATGAAAAAATAATATTTTATTAAACTCAATGAAAAAAGTATTTTAGACATTTTTCATTGAGTTTAATGACTAAAATTTATTTTTCCCATCAATTTTTCTTAACGAAAATAGGTAGATAATTTAGATTGAAAATAAATCAAAAGATTATAATTTAAATTGACAAAATTAAAAATTTAGAATTTATTTTGTTACAATAATCAAACTCTGATTTTTGTTTTTATCATTTCTCCTAATTTTTCTCACCTCATAAAAATGTTAAAAAAAATTAAAAACTATTAAAAAGGTCATCCCAATACAAAGATTTGAACTTGAACTCTCTAATGGTCGTCCAAACTGTGTAAGCTGACTTCTTCTTTTGATAAGTTTTGCGGACTCATCAAGATCAGTCTCCACAGAAGCTCCAATGAAGTTCTCTTCCTTCATGATAGTCTTTTTCTTACTTGTATAATATACAAGTCATAAGAAAAAAATCAATCAAGAGAAACCACAAAATGATTCTGATCTCCTCACAGAAGTCTTCCCATGTTAGATTGTTCTGATTTTTGGAATTCAGACAAGAACTTCATCTGACTTCGGACAGCCATTCTTTAATTGTGTATCGTTTTGGGAGCCTACATTTGTAGCACATAGTATAAGAGTAACAAAAGACGTAATCAAGTAAATGAAAATGCTTGCAATTATTAAAATATTACTTCTAAATTTATTCTCAATGACATGGATTGTTACATGTTAGTTGTTCATAATTTATTTAGAAAACAAAATTAAGATTCAACCTCCTATCATATCAGCGTAGATAAATTTAAGAGTGATATTTTAAGAATCTTTAAATAACATCATATCCTTTTTATATACTATCAATATTCTAAAGAGTAAGATAAAAATCCTGAAATTTTTCACGAAAACTTATTATAATAATAAAACTCATTCATTTTAGATGAACTCATACTATACCGAAATGAATGCTGTACTAACATATTGTATTCGACTTATTTTCTTGTTAAAATTTTTTTATGAGTGCATTACATTTTTTGTGAAACAGCAAACGTATTGAAAAGAGAGAAAATTGTCTTAAAGAGGAATGGGAAAAAAAAATCTTGTAAATTTGTTCAAAACATAAGATACATATTTTTTTCTCCAACTAAAATAAGCAAGACATGGCATATTATTAAGAACAATGCCACCCCTTCTTACCTTTTAAATGAAATGTCATGAACAACAATCCTTTTTCTTTAACTAGCTCATATGAAAATTCATTACTAGACATGAGTTTAAAGAATGCAGGAAGATAAGGAGGATCAATCCTATTCTATGTGGATAGATCATAGCTATGAAGTGTTCAATATGCAGTAGATGGTCACAGCAAGTTCTATTTATAGAGCTAGGCATATAGAAATAAATACATATATAATCCACTTGAAAGATTTAATCAATCTAGGAAGATTATAACAATCTTTAATAAGATATTTTGAATACGGTTTTTTTGGAATTTTTTTTTTTATTGTATAAACTAGCAACATTTGTAAATATTTTTTGGTCACATGTGTAGAATAATACAATAGAAATAACTCATATAAGTGAAAAAAAATATTGATAAAATTTAGGGTGAAATATCAATAAATTTCAAAATGTGATCTTGTGATCTGTTTAATCCTTCCTTTTTTCTTATTAACCCAAAGGTCCCATTAAAGTGAAAATTAAATAAAATGGTAGTCACTTACATATTTGGATTTTTTAGGGATAAAAGTGGGTTTCTCAAAATATAAAATTACACATTTGGGCAATTTGCACTATAGAAGTTTTGGATTTTCTCTCATTTTAGAACAAATCCCACATTACGAACAAAAACCTAACACTCTAATGTAATATTCTAATAATGTAACACTTCAATGTAACACACTAAAAAACTCCTTGGTATATTTTTTCTAAATGCAACACACCAAAAAAAAAAAAATTTAGTGTATTTTTCTCAAACATAACACTCCAATTAGTGTAATCCTAAACATAACACTTCAATGTAACATACTCCAATGTAACACGTTAAAAACACTAAAAAAAACTCATTAGTGTACTTTTTCCAAACGTAACGCTCACAGTTTGAAATTATACATTTGTCCAAAACTTACTAAGGAATATTTATATTTCTTTTGGAATGGTTTGAAGAATCTCACATTCTTTTTTTTTTTTTTTTAGTGTTACATTGGAGTGTTACGTTTAGGAAAAGAACACTATGAAGTTTTATTTATTTATTTATTTATTTATTTTTAGCGTTACATTTTGAAAAAGTACACCAAAGAGTTTTTTTTTGTGTGTTACATTAAAGTGTTACACTAATTTTTTTTTTGAAGTGTTGTATTGAAGTATTACGTTTGAAAAAAGTACACTAAGGAGTTTTTTTGTGTATTACATTAGAATGTTACACTAAGGAGTTTTTCTATATTACATTAAAGTGTTACATTAAAGAATTTTTTTAGAGTATTATATAGAGTGTTATATTTTGAAAAAATACACTAAGAAATTTTTTGTGTGTCAGATTTGAGTGTTACACTAAAGAGTTTTTGTGTGTGTTACATTAGAGTGTTACACTAAAGAGTTTTTTTAGATTTTATATTAGAGTGTTACGTTTGGTAAAAAATACACTAAGGAATTTTTTTATGTGTTACATTAGAGTGTTATAATAAGGAATTTTTTTTATGTATTACATTAGAGTGTTGTACTTAAGAGTTTTTTTTTAGTGCTATATTGAAATGTTACGTTTGAGAAAAATATAGTAAGGAGTTTTTTTATGTGTTACATTAGGGTATTGCACTAAATTTTTTTTTTTGAATGTTACATTAGAGTGTTACGTTTGAGTATTATATTAGAATATTACAGTTTGAAATTAGACATTTGGCCAAAACTTACCAAGTAGTTTTTGTACTCCTTTTGAAGTGTTTGAAAAATCCCATATTTTAAATCATTTTTGTATTCCTTTTGAAATGTTTTCCAAATAAAAAATATTTTTAAATAAAAATCCATCCCAAATTTGATTCAACCTTACCTTTTTAGTGCCAAAAAAAAAAAAATGAAAGAAGAAGAAGAAGGA